GAATCAAGTTATTTCAAGGAATGTCCCCATCCTGACGAAGCACAACGACATAGGTTGGGTAGAGAGCTCAACATGGAGGTGGATCAAGTCAAGTTTTGGTTTCAGAACAAAAGAACTCAAAGCAAAGTATTTATCTTGGCAAATTTTTGTAAAAAAAAAAACAATCTTATATTTACTTATTTCAAACAAATGTCATTTTATTTTGAATATTTTGATTTTCGTATATGCTATATATAGGCTCAAGATGAAAAATCTTCTAACATACTACTTCGTGGAGAAAATGAAAAACTTAAGAGTGAGAACGAAGCAATGCGAGAGGCATTAGAAAATGTGGTTTGTCCACCTTGTGGCGGCCCTCCTTATGAACGCGAACGCAGTCTCCAAAAAATGCGTTTGGAAAACGCTCAACTCAAAAAACGGGTGATAATTTGATTTCATTATTTAAATCGACAACATATTTCACTATTTTATAGTCTTAACTTTTTNTTGGATATTGGATATTTTCGTTGGATATAATTTGTTTGTTCCATCATCATATTTGAAACGTTATAAATTTGTTGCATTTGGTTATGCTATTTCGATTATAGTTATATAAGTATAGTAGGACTAGAACCATGAAAATGAAATTTTATCCAATAGTTAATCCACGGTAAACTATTTAATTAAAGTATATTATTTGTTTACACATTAATTAAGTAAACCGACCAGGCAACTAACAATTTCTTTTTGGGTGAAATTAAAATTGATTTTAGCGTGACGAACTCGCCAACTTTGTGTCCAAGAACAAGCTCAACCGATCAACCATGGTGGAGTCAGTAGCTTCTGCTCGTAGACAACAAATGTTTGATACTCGCTTCTCGTACGAAGCTAATCCAAGCAGTATCTTCGACCTACCAAGCTCATTAGGACCACTAAATTCTCAAACCGTCCAACCACAAGAACTATCCCAAATGGACATAGCGCAGTTGTCTGAAATCGCGGCAAGTGCGGTTGAAGAGCTTAAGCGGCTGTTTACTGACGAGAAAGACTTTTGGGTTAAGTCGTCTATAGATGGAGCATATATGATTAATCAAGAGAGGTATGAGAAGTTCTTTCGTGGCATTAGGCATTTCATGAATTCGGGGGCTCGAGTTGAGTCTTCCAAAGATGCCACGGTGGTTCCTATAGAAGCGACAAACTTAATCGAGATGTTCTTGGATTCGGTATGTATTCTATAAATCATCATGACAATATATTTTCTTTACTTCTAAAGGGTTGGACATTATCATGTTTAAATTTGAAAAAAAAATGTAATTGTTTATTGTAGGAGAAATGGAAAGATCTTTTTCCAACGATCGTGAACAAGGCCAAGACGATTCATATGTTCGGATCCGACCTTCCAATCAAGGAAAACTGCAATGTTGTACAAGTGGTAAGAATTAGCTATATTTGATGATAATTTGCTCAAAATTGAACTAAACGATAAATAAAGTATTTCACCAATCAAATCACTAAATGAAAGTTTATTTGATCTTTTGATATATATTAAA